GTGTGTGTGTCTGTGTGTGTGTGTGTGTTTCTAGGTTGGGAACCTGAAGCGCGGAGGCCAGACAGGGTGGAGGGGAGCGAGTACTAGTAGCTGGGTAATGTGAGAAAAGGAGGATGAGACCGAGTCAGGGGGGTGCTTTTTAGAGCTGAGACGGGTTCTCAAGTCTCTGACGAGAATGGAATGCGACCAGCTCGGGACAAGAGAGAGCGGCCGGCGTCAAACGTCGCACACAAGTTCGGAGAAAGGTTTCTTGTTGGAATACATCACCCATCTGTGGCAGTCGCAGTCGCACCCAATAAGTGCCAATGGACGAACAAAGAAAGAAGAAGAAGACGCCTCACTTGTGTCGTCCCGCAAATTTGGACCGATATACCTTACCCAACCTTGTTCCGGCATTCTGAGTTAGCAAGAGAGAGAGGGGGTGGTCAGGTTTAGTGGCCCCTGTTTCGACACGCAAGACCAATTGAGGAGACGGTGCCAGATAAAGACGACGTCGAAGCCCACTTTCCTTGGACTGCTGGATGGGATTGCGTCGATGTGCGGGCCGCACAGATTGCCAGCAACAACAACAACGGACAGCGAACAGGCACATAGTATCCACCCAATGGAGCTCGGGAGCGGTCTGGATACCTCAACTTAGCAGGCCATGGACGTATGTCTGGTGGTGTGTGTAGACGTGGATCGTCCATGGATCGCGTAGCGTGGGAGGACCCAAACAGCCCCCAAGACCCGCCAAGGCCATTTGGTGGTAAGTTTGCCTGCACCCTAACGAAGGTGGTAAAAAGGGATGGGTCAGTAGAGAGGGAGCGTTCACCTCATCCAAACCCACCGAGGATATGCGGGATCTGAGAAGGGAGTGGGGAGAACGGATGGTAAGCAGCGGCGGCGGCGGCGGCGGTGTGCTGTCATGAACTCGCACGCACGCACGAGCATGAATGAAGCGTGAGGTGGCGGTAGACAGTAGGCAAGCAGCTTATCGACTGCAATCGATGCAATGTGTGCGCGCGCATATGCAGCGTCTTCATTTGCAGCGACTAGTGCCACGAACTGCTGCTTTGCCTGAGCCCTCGATTTCGTGCTAAAGGATCGCTTGCCTTAGCTGCCTTTGATCAAGAACGGGAATGCTTGACAAGAAGGATTGAAATATGGGATTGATGTCGGGGCTACGAATTATGTTCGGTCAAGCAGGGCAACCCATGGAACCTGGAAGTTAGGCACAGCGTTCCTTCCCGGCAGGCCACAAAGGATGGAAGGTGCGATGCAAGCAGTGCGTGCGTGCCCAAAGCAAACCAGCCTGGAAACAACACAAACTGGACAAACTGGAAACCACGGCTGGCCGGCGCCCTGAGTAAGGTAATTTGCTCGAAACCACTCGACGGGATCAACCTCGACGAAACAAATCCCATGCGGCTCCAAACAAACTCTGTCTGCCTGTCCAAAAATACGCTTTTGCACATCCCAAGTGGGCTTTCCCGTCAGGTTACGCAAACCACCTACCGTACGGTTGCAGTCAGGTACGCCATTTGCGCCACGCAATACTTGTATTTACGCCTCTGCCGAGCGAGAGAACAAGGCGCAAGAAATTAGAAAAGGCCGCCGCCGCGAGGCCATTGGGGGAAAAAAGGTGAAGGGCCTCTGTGTGGTGATTGGCTTAGGAGAGTCGGGTCGCCGTGTCGATTGGTTGCCTCGTTTTTGCTCATTGTCTTCCCCTGGCCACCAACCCCCCCTCGGAGGCACGCCATCACTGGCGATACAGCTTACGGGATAGGAGGAAAGGTTGTATTTACCCCTTTGTGTCCCAAATGAGGGTGCCAGGGCTGCCAGGTGAGACACACGATCCAGTCGACGGGTGACTTTGGTGATATCAACCACCATCCACCACCCATCGGCATGCCAAACTCGTCGCCTCTCTTTTGGCCTCCCTATCAGACCCGCATGTGCCCACGACTTCCTGCATCGCATCGCATCGCATCGCATCACAGCGCAGCGCATCGCATCGCGTCCAACTGCTACGGCACCCCGAGGTAAGATTGCGGTATATTCTTAGGACCAAGAGATGCGGTGATGCGGCATTCTGCCATCACCACGTGCCTCGCCAAGAGGCCGGCAGCCGATAGCCATACCAGCCCAATGTCGGCCGCCTTGCCACAAGATCGCCCGAGGACCAAGAAACGTGGCCATCACGGCAGATCCCCGTCTCTTCCCGACGCTTTCCAGCATTGGCCGGGCTACACGTTACATCACGACGGCATAGCAATGAACATAGATCTTGTCTTCTGTCGCGCGCGCAGATCAGCGCCCCCTTCTCCCGCTTCCCAGGCCGAGGTTGCTCGCGAAACGGACGTCGTCCGCCTGTCTTTCCAATGCTCGCCGCATCATGGCGCTATACTCCTGCTCCTCTCTCGCTATCTCCAGTGACCGGGGGGAATCAGCGCCGCCCTCTTCAAAGTCCTCGACCGCGAATCCGGACCGTGCAGTGACAGTCACCAGCCCCAACTTCTCTCCTGTCCAGAACAGCAAGTCGTTGTCGTTGACCTTACCATTGGCCACGCCTGTCTGCGTCGGGAGCAGCTTCCTCGCAATGTCGTCCGATCCTGGCATCGCTGCAAAGACAGAGGACCCTTGGGATCGCTCACTGTGCCCTATCCTGCAGCGGCGGACCTCGGTGAAGCCATCCCTCTCGAACCACTTCAGATAGCCTGAGCCGTCAGAGAAGACGAGGCGTGCCCCGTGGTTGACGACCGAGAGGATCTTGGACTGTGAGGCAGTCTGGCGGTTCCGAAAAACCGAGTTCTGCAGGCCCCCGGGCAGGCTGGAGTACGTTGCCGATGGCGGCAGCAGACCATACATCTCCAGTGATCCCTTTGTGTTGTACTCACCACAGGCGATCAGCGTTCTCCCACCACTGGCATTCTTGGAGTTTGCTACCTGCTCCAATGACAACTGGCCCTTGCGTCGAAGCTCGCTGTCAAGCGCAGAGAAGGGATACGGTAGCGATGTCAAGCTGCAGAGCCTGGCACCTGAATGGATCGATCCCTTGATAGACGGGAACTTGCGTCGGTCATAGTGGAGGATGTTGGAAAAACGACCTGCCACGTAGATGTCGTCAGACAAATCCGCTTCCAGGCCAGGGCGCTGGAGATGGAGGACGCTCAGAGGTCCTGGCTGGCTCAGCGGTGCATACGGAGGCAGCGGTTCGTCACTGAAAATATTCCTCAGACTTCGCTCGTAAAAGGCTTTGGCTCCCATCCGGTCGAATTCGTCTATCGTTTCCAGCTGATCGCCTCGGGATGACTTGCGGGACCTGTAATCGTGCATATGGATTCCCAAGCTCGTTCCAACCGTAAGCGGCACAGCTGAACTTGCAGCAGATAAGGCTGTGATGGACCATGGAAATGATTCGCAGTCGACGACCGCCAGCCGCTGCAGGTCAACCTCGATTAGGTGACTCTGGACTGCAAAGAAAGCCCGGTGCTGCCGGCTATCGACGCTCACACACTCGGTCACGCCTGAGTCGACCCGCTTGGACCGTCTGTTGTTATCAGCGCCTGGCCCGTCAATGAAGAGAATGCCCGGCCTGCTCTGAGCCACAATCGCGCCCCTTTTGCCCCTCGTCCCGTTGACATCCCATAAACATACGCTCCCATCATCTAAAGGCGAGACGGCATAAAGGTCCTCAATCCCAGTGTCCTCCTCAAGTGGGTGGCCCGGTCGGTACAACGCAACGCCCCTAGCCTCAACGTAGTCGGCTCGGGTGCGGTCCCCAAACCGAGGCACCTGGAGCCAGTTGACGGCAATAGGCCCATGCCGCTGGATGTATTCGTCGTACCATGAGATGCGCTCCGGGGGAAAACACGGATCCCAGTTGGCCATTATCCGAACCCGTTCTCGTTCCCTCGAGCCTAAAGACCCGGGAGTCGTCGCCACAACGGCGGGTGAAGACGCCCCGCCATTGTCAGCAGTGTCGACCACAGCCGCATCGCTGACCGAGGGGCTCGCAAAGGTCTGTTTAAGGTGGTGGCGCCGATCGAGAGCCTCGAGGAAAGCAGAGTCTTGCAGGCATCGCGAACGCCAGAAGCTGTTGTCCCGGGCAAGGGCCAGGAAGGCTCGGGAGACCAGCTGCAGGCAGGTCACTTGGTGCGGTTCGAGAACTATCGATGGTGATGCATCAGATGGCTTTGGTCAGAAACGTGCACTCATCTTTAATTGTTTTGCTCCCCCCAGCCCAGGAGGACCATGCAAGGCCATTGCCAGTGGGGGAGGTTTTGCAAGCTAGCGGAGTGAAGCGAAGGGGACGACCACGGACTAACAGGAAATAATGTGGAGCAGGATCTCTCCAGGGAGACTTGTGAGACCCGCTGGCTTTGTCGGTGCCATTGCCATTCCCATAGCAACAAAAGCTGCGGGGGCGGCTCCTATCCCGTATCCAAGCTGGGCGTCAAAGGGGGCATTCAATGACTCGATCTCTGTAGTATTCTAATAGTAAGGTATATTGCACCGCAGGCATAGGGCATTCATGTAGTGTAGGATCGAAAAGAAGAAGAAATGTCTAGGAAGACGGACGGACGGGTTTGCTAGGAAACTGATCGAGGTGAAACAAGGCGAATGCAGTCAGATGTAAGCTAGGTCAGCAAAAGGTGCAGAAGTAAGGTTCCAGATTGCTTTTCGTTGAGAGCTTCCTCGCTGGAAGCTTCGCGAAAGCTCCTTCCCTACGGGTAAGTCCGACTCCCCGCGAGTTCAGGGCCCCCGTAGTGCCCGTGTCTATCCCGTACCAGGTACTGTCCATGTAATGTGCACTCCACCCCAGCGCCTCGACCAAGCAACCTCCGAAAGCCGGTGAGGTCTGGAATGCGATAAGCCCCCCAGGCGCGCCAAGACCGTTCGATAAGTCAAAGCTGCCCCTCCAAAGTGCATTTACCTCATCACGGGACGATGTTAGGGCGCCCGCAAATGCCGCAACATAGTTGCCTCATCCCGTATCCACCAACAAGAATTCCTTAGGGTGTATGGTCTAGTGGTATGATTTCTGTTTTGCAATGCTTCATCCGCATTCTCAACTTACAGACGGTCCCCGGTTCGATCCCGGGTGCATCCACAACTTTTTGCTTTTTTTACTCATTTCACTTGTTGTATTTTACGACGGACTCGAGATCTAACTCTGTGCCTCTCACAACTTGAACTGTTCTGCTAATTCTTCGACTCCCCATGTGCGTTCTTCACTCCGCTTCAATTACTCCTACATCATTTCGACCTTGTTTATCAGTATAAAGTTTAAATAGAGGCTGGGGCAGCTAGGACAGACTCTCTATAGATTATCTTGCGTATCATGGCAAGCATGTAGGCAAAGTTGGACCAAAAACTTAATTGTACCAGCAAGAAGATGAATCGTCTTATCTAAGAGTTGGCTTCATCTGGTGACGACAGCCCAGGAAACCAACCAGCCAATATTGCGATAACATAAACCGGAACACCAAGCCATAAAAAATTCTTGCATCTCTCGAATAGTCTAACCTCTTTTCCCTTCCCTTTTTGTAAGCAAACGATGACACCACTCCAACAACCTCTGCCGCCTTTGCGTCATATCATCTCTAATGTCTAACAAGGCACGTGCCACAACAAAAAGAAGCAACAAACTCTATGTGTATGGCTACCTCTAAAATAACAAACACTCCGATTTTGTGTAGTGGGAAGATAAAGGGGAGACATGGAGTTAGAAAAGGTGGAGAGGGGTGGGAATGGGGAAACGGATGGGAAGAGGGGGAAGAGAGGCAAAGGGCGGGAATCATGTATCCGAACTGGGAGAGCTGATTTGACCCGAGGGTTCGCTCTTCGACTGGACTCGTCGAGAGTGGTACGGCTTCTTCCAGCCCTCCCAGTCCGGTCTTAGGCTGTTTTCGTCTGCGCACGCGTCTACACGCGATGCTTCAGGGTCTGAGAATTCCTCTGCAATGGGCTCAATGGTTATTGACGGTGGCGCGGGCTGGAACAGTTGGTACGGAGCTGGAAACATAACAACTGGGGTTGCAAAGTATTGCATAGGCTGCGCTTGGGTGGTGCGAGTCGGGCTCTCGAAATCCAGCCGTATTGGGCTCGGGACGGCGGAGCGGGCGGTGGCGGTCAGAGATCTGGGCGTGAAGGGCGGAGCGTCAGGGTTCAACCTCGAGCCCTGGAGCAAGAGGCGGTCAGATAGAAACGGCCAAAGATGTATAATGATAATACATGCTTCAGCAGATCTATACCTCTTTTTTATGCTCCGTGGCCTGCTCCGTCTCTGATCCGTCCTCTAGAGCAGTTTCGCTTCCAGTAGAACTGTCACTCTGATCCCTCAGCGACGACACGCTCTTGACCTTGGCGAGTTCCGAGTTGGTACGTTCCAGGGTCAGATCGTTTATAAGGCCGAGAGCCTTGTGTCCTTTGGTGACTGAATTGTCGTCACTGGCATCCTTATGCTTTGGTTTGACAAAGACCTGCTTGGACCAGAGCTCGGCGTATTTTCCATTTGCTCGGATCAGCTCCTCGTGACTGCCCTGCTCGACAAGCGTACCGCCAGTAACGACAATGATGCTGTCAGCATTCATAATGGTAGAAAGACGATGCCTAAGCAGTCAAGATTAGCTAGCTGCATGTTCTACTGGATAGGAGAGGGGGTCATACGCTACGATGAAAGTAGTGCGTCCTTCGCAGAGTAATCGCAAAGCTTCTTGAATCCTCTGCTCAGTTTCTGTATCCACTGCGCTGGTTGCCTCGTCAAGCAGTACAATTTCAGGTCGCTTTAGAATTGCTCGCGCAATTGCCACCCGTTGCAGCTCTCCACCAGAGAGTTTGATGCCTCGCTCCCCAACGCGGGTTTGGTAGCCTGTCCCAAATGTTAGCAATACTCCAACATAGCCAAGACAACGAAAGAGGGCTATTACCGTCTGCGAAGCCTAAGATCTGCTCGTGGACGCTAGCAGCCTTGCATGCCTCGTAGACTTCTTCATCCGTCGCGGTCAGGTTCGCATATCGTACGTTGCTCATGATGGTGTCGTCGAATAGAATGGGGGATTGCGGGACAACGCCAATTTGTGCGCGCAAGCTGTGCTCGGGCAGTCAGCAACGGTCATGCGGTAACGTATTACCACGTGCCTAGACCCCAGTGACTCACCTGAATAGATCAACGTCCCGAATGTCCTGTCCATCAATCTCTATGGAGCCTTCCGTGACGTCGTAGAAGCGGTCGATGAGCTTGAGAATGGTCGACTTGCCGGCGCCTGTGGCTCCAACAAAAGCGATGGTTTTTCCCGGAGTCGCTGTGAAGCTAACATCCTTGAGGATATCCTTCTTTTTGTCATAGGAGAAGCAAACATTCTTGAAGCGCACGTGTCCTCCGTCGAACACCAAAGGTGGTGCATCCACCTTGCTGACGACTGTGGGCTTTGTCTGCATGATTTCCAGGAGCTGTTCGGCATGGATCAGATCTCTCGAGATAGTCTTGCCGAGGCCGGCAAAGAACGTCAGTGGAGCAACCAGCTGAGCCCAATATGTCAGTAACATGATGAAGTCGCCAGGAGTGGCCTGTCCATGTGTGACCTGGTACACCGCAAGGAAGGCTCCGGCCATGAGACCCGACAACAAGACCAAGAACTGCAGTGCGTATGCGAAGATGTACCCGAGGAAGACCTTTTGCGATTTGGCCACGCGTTCCTTCACAGCCGCAGAGTAACGCCTCTCCTCGTGCCCAATCTGGTTGAAGCAAGTGACGGTAGCCCAGCCCTGGATGCCAGCCTGGCGAATGTAATGCTCTTCAAACCAGGCGCTCACTTCGCTTCTGCGAGCTGACCTCATTCTCGAGATCATTCGGGTGGCAATGTACATAAATATGGCGGCCGTCGCGACGGTGATGAAGCCTTCGTACGGTCCGAAAGTGATGGAAAGATAGACAAATGCCACCCCCATATCGATGAGCATTGGGAGGGCCTGAAAGCAGATCGAGTCGAGCATATTCGATATGCTCTGGCCAGACTGGATTGCCATCATGATGTCAGACGAGCTCTTGGAGTCGTGGAAGTCGGATGACAGGTTAAGAACATGCGAGTATGCTGCTGTGCTCATGGCGTCAAAGGAGTAGTACTCGACAGGAATCCAAAGCCACTGTCGCAACAGCGAAAGTCCAGCTTCGGAAGCAATCAGCTTCAGCCCGGCAAATACCAAAACCTCAATCCAAGGATTCCGTCCGTTAGTTCCACCGAGGGAATCCATCACAATTCCCAGCTGCCGCGGAATCAGAACGTTGACGAAGTTCATGGCAAGTAAGCAGCACCCAACTAGGAAGATGCGGGTTTGGAGGGGCTTGTTTTTGACGGGCCAGACATAGGGGAAAAAGACCTAGTTGGAGCAATGGTTAGCGGGATCATTTGGCGACTTCAGATATCCCCACGCGACGTACCATGAAGCTCTTAGCATATGTAATCCAGTTGCCTTTTTCCTTGAGGCGCTTCTCCATCTTCTCGCTAGCCTGTCGCTGGCGCCTCTCCCAAGGAGATTCAGGAGTCTCTGTCGTCGATTTGCGGCTGTCATCGGTTGATTCATCGGATGTTGTTGAGTCGTCAGATGTGGTGGCCCCATAGTTGTTCTGTCCTGCCTCGTCGTCCGCCTGGTCCCCAGCAGCGTTTGTAGCGGCCAGGTCACTGGCCTTTTTGAGCAAGCTTTGCCTTTCGGCATCGCTGCTCTTCTCCTGTCTGGACCTGTACATGCCTTCCAAATAAGCGATCAATGTCAACACGAAAGCGAGATATCTGGTTGCGGCAGCAGAGAGGTCGAGGAACTCGGCGACTGTCAGTGGCTCTGGAGATCTAACTATGAACGACAGGGTCTGCATGATCGCCTCAAAGACGAGTGCCAGGGCAAATGAGCCAGTAAACGGATACCAAACAGGCTTTTCGGACTCCGATAGTCCAGCAAACTCGACGCCAAAGACTAGTATGCACGAGAGGAGGCCGATGATGGTGTCCTGCTCGCTGGGGAACTCGTGGCGAATCAGGGAGCGAACCACGAGGTTGAGTAGCTGAGCCAGATAGGTCAGGATGGCAAACATAAGGAGCCATATGATCGTCCGCCTGCGGCCGTGAGATTCCTCGGCAGATTTTGTTTGTAGGGTGCATATGGCGACACCGGAAGAGATGATATAGTAAACAAAAATGGTGATCGGGTAAGCGTAATGAAGAGTGAGAAGGACGGGCGTCCCCTGGAGGCCGGAGACTTGGCTGGCCATGGTGTCGTCGTCTGGGTTGGACATGGGCTAAGTAAAGATAGACGGAGTGCCGAGGGCGTATTGTCTGCAGACTTTTGCTGCTGGCATGGGGTGAGATGGAGAAGATCTGGGCGAGGGTCAGAAATCTCGAACTGAACCTGTTGCTGGATATTCGACGCCTGCGCCCACAGAATGAGAGGCCAAATGGAATCCTGAGTGAAATCCTAGTGAGGGGTGATGTCGTGGCTTGTTGCCTTTTGCGAAGTTCTGAGCCTAGAGTAGGAAATCTGGTGAAGGAGGGTCGTGGTTTTTTGTTATTGTTTGAGACAAAGAAGTGCACCGCCGCTGCGTCAAGCGGGAGGATTATTATTCTGGTCCGCTCAGTCCAGTCAGCCCCAGTGCGCCCGTGCCTTGCGTTCAACACCCCAAGCACCTTCTCGTTCGAGAAAGTCTAGAAGTAAAACCCTGGTAGACTGAGGAAAGAGAGATGCACCCACCCGAGACGGTGCGACTACGCGAGTTCCCTGCCGTACGGCAAGAGCGAGGCTCCACGACCTTGGCCGGTCACTGTGACAAGCTAATGAATGCCCTGTGACGTTCTTTCCTCAAATCCGCGAACCGGGCAGCCCTGATATCTACCTGGGATCCTGGACCTTTTCCAGATTCTGCACGGGAAGCTTGGCCAGGTAAGCTCTTTTGCTCTTCAAGCTTTCAGTCAACAGGTACAAGGCAAGGCAGCCGTCCAAGAGCCGGTTTGGTCAACCACTGACTCGAGCTCGTATTGCGCAGCAGAGAAAAAGATTCTTCGAAGCTAGATAGGTAGACTAAAGGCAGACGCCTCAGTCTTGGACCTACAAAGGCTCAAA